AAAATTTTCTGCAGTATACAGTGAGATTATATATTCATATTTGTAGATTGCACTTCATTTCTATCCTCCTTTCAGTCCACTTTTAGCTTCCTTTGTGACTTTTTCTGAAACCAGCAATAAGTTTGCTAAGTATGCTGGCATGAGACTTTCCTTGTCTGCACAGGTAGAAATCAGGTATAGAGTTGAATGCGCTGACAACGTAATGGACTTAATAATATTAGCTATTGTGGAACTCATTTGAGTAAATGTAGCTTATGTAACAATCTACACCTGAGTAGTTACCCTAGGCTCTCTGTAGTCATCAGGGGGACAAATATATGCATTAGAATATGGTTTATTTGATAGCAAATTACATGTTTAAAATAAATTAGAAGAATGCTCCATAAGAGAACGCAGAAAAGGTGCAGGTTTTCTTTAACTCTTTTTTCCTGTTTGGAAAGCACTATCCCCAGAATGCAGTGCAGGTACACGTCAGGTGGCTATTTTGTGGTGCTTTGGCTAATGTTTGATAAATGTTCTTTACTTGAAAAGAAACAGATACAGCACAAAATTTGTCCCAGAATCTCCTTATTCAGAAAATATTTCCTAAGGATGATTTATAGTTTTTTGTACTACATGATGTAAAGGGGTCACCTGTTTGCAAGAGCAGGAAAACTGGCCCCACTGACAATCAATACTATTTTGTTGGCTCTTAATAACGTAAGAAAGAGGAAGGAAATCAGAGGTTACTGCATATTGCACCTTATAATCCATGTAACAAATCACATCAGTATGTATTGGCAGAAAAGACTGGGTGGAGAGAAGAGGGAGATACTAACTGCGTTTATGTGGAAAACAGAGATGGAAACATCTCTGACTAAAAACAGAGAAAGTCTGTGTAACAGTAGGCAAAACGCTTCCTCTGAAAAGGAAATATTTTCTTAAATATTATAATAGCACCTTGAAAAATTATTCAGGAATTGGCTCATAGTTTCTCCTTTACCACTGATAATGCTGAGTGCTAGGTCAGGTCACTGAGATGAAGAAATGACAGTCTAAACAATAGAGTCAGACAAGGGACATTATTTGGCTCATCAGCATTTCTGTCAGTTATTTCTGCTACAATTCTCTGCTGGTTTTGATATGCTTCACAACAATTATGAGTAGCTATGAAGTGCTGGGACTTTGGAGATCACCCAAAGGGCTACAGAGTACAGTTCTTACCAGTGCAAAAGGCAGTACCCTTTGTAAATATAAAACAGCTTATGATACACCCCTTCTTTTTATGACTCTGTGTATAGGTGTATAACTGTTGCAATTATGAAACTAGTTCTAAGCTCACAGTTTCCTTCTTTTCCTATTTGATGTTGCCTAGCAGTATGAAAATAAAATTAAAAGGTGTTGATTTTTTTGTTTTACTTCGTGATCTAGTTGGCAAAAAACCTGCCATCTCACTGAATTAGTGAAAGAATAGAAAAGAACAGGATCTAACATCTGGTAAGACGTAACTTGGACTTTACTCTTGATTGTGTCTGTTTCAAATGCCAGGTGTCTATCACCTGGGGTATAGTCTTACTTTGGCAAAGTAAATCTATTACTAACTCTCTAAAGAATGCTGTCTCTGAATGATGCCACTGCTAATGGAACACTGATTTACTGCCACAACTGTAAAGAATCTTTTCTAACATTGTGTTACACTTCCCATCAATTTAGATCAATCAGACCTAACATATGTGAGAAGTTATCTGCATTTTTCTCCAGTAAAACCAAAATGATGAAAGCTTTGCTTTCCCAGAGGTATGATTCACTATTGGTAGCCCCATTGTTTTTTCTTTAGCCCTCATCTTCTTTGTCAGGGCTGGAGCATATTATTCCCGTAATGCTTGCCAGAATTCTATGGCTTATTTGTTGTTTGAGACTTACCATATGTGTCTTTGATCCCTGCCCAGTAGGCACCCTGGCTGCTTGCCAGTTTGGCACATATGATTATCAGCAGTATGAATAGCTCCCTTGCTTTTGATTCTGTCCTTCTTGCTGTCATCAAATCACTCTTTAAACAACTTTCTTATTTTCTTTTAGATGCTTGTAAATGACCAACCTATTTTTACCATGCCCTTCTTGGCCAAGGTTTTGTGTCACACTGTCGGAAATCCAACAGCTTGTTGTTTCCATTCCTAATGATCTGACTGCCAACTACCTGTGTAATTGCATGGGAACAATAAGGAGTAAAGAAACATCGCTCATGGTAATATTTGAAGTTTCTCTGTGTGTTAAACAAATTTGCCTGTTCTCTCCATCTGGTTGGCTTGGTGGCATAAATTCTGTAAGAGATTATTTAATTTAGTGAAAAGCACTCCTTTAAATAGATATTTTAAAACCCTTGATCAGAATACAGTGTAAGCCAATAACAATGATAAATCCATATGAGTATCAGAATAAGAAATACTTTTAAAAGACAGATGGAAAGCCAAAAGCCAGTCATGCAATTTCTATTCACTACCCTGATGTAGCACTGAGTCCGTCCATGTGTTCTGGTAAACTGAAGTTCCAAAATGCCATTATTGAACAAAAAATATGAAGAATCAAAATAAGGAACAGCACAGGACATATAAAGATCCAGACCACAAGAGGCCCATGTGCTGTTACAAAAAGGTCTGTCAGAAGTCTCATTATTCTTCACATGATTTTGCAAATGCTTCTGCCAGTATATATATCGGTACTACCACTGAAAGCAGACAAGGTTAAAAAGCCTATTGTACCATATCTACTTTCATGTTAACTCCACAGGGGGGTGGAGTAAACTTTGTAGCCCCTGTGAGCAAAAACAGTATTGGCATGATTATGTCTGCCTAAGACACATTGAAGTCTTGTTGGAGCTACTTCTACACTGTGCTATCCTACGTGACTCTTGTTTAGGAATAACAATTTGGCTTAGCTCTGAAGCTTTTCACACACAGTGCTTTTTTCAATAGATAAATTACCATGTACTTCTCCCAAGAAACATCTTCACCCAAGATGAATGTGTTTTGTTTTTACATCTCTTGAAACAACTGCTTACATGGAACTAGAAACACTGGTTGAAACATTCAGTGCTGAATTAGCAAGGGTGAGAAACAAATTCTGATTTCAGGAAGAATGAGAGGTACAACAGGAAAAAAAAAAAGAGAGAAACTGTTGCATAAGAACCCAGTTTATTTGGGATTGCTTTATAATGTATCATTATGTGTTCCTTCTCTGCCCAACAACACTGCGTTTTCAGAAAAAGACGCTCCTTTTCAGCATATGCGATGTCACTCTGAGTCTTAAAGCAGGTTTGTGCCCAAAAAATGCTCACAGTAGACTTAGGCTGGAAGAACACACTGAAGCTTTAAGCCCCGCAAAAATGTCATTCAATTCTGGCAGTGCGTTTCATAGTTATGTTTGCAACAACAATGACTAAGAAGCAACACTGTTAGAAGGGATTTAATGTGGAGAAGATAGCATTTTGACAGCTAAACTAGTTGCAGAGGTTTATAATGAAGCTAACTTCAGAGGCATTTGTAAGAAAGATGATTAAAGGCACTATAAAGTTTGACTTCAGTACTGGAGTAACTTGAGAACAGGTTGGGTACGTAGGAGAGGTATACTTTAGACGCAGACATACCCAGCTTCCTCGTGACTGCATTTTTCACCCTATTTTCAGCTTGCTATGAAATGTACAGAAAAGTGCAAAATTAAATTATTTACCTCAATAAAGTGCTTTTCTCTTCAAATGTATTGCAACACAAATAAACTTTCACCGGGAGACAAAAAGGGTAAGGTTTGTATTTTTAGGCAGCCTTTGTGCGTTTTATCCCTAGCTCTACAGGTAACAAGCCCAAAGTAAGTACAGTGGGATTTTGAACTGTGAAAATATAAGAAATCTGAATCCACAAATATTTTACTGGAAGTAGACAGAAAAGATACTGCCTCAGATTGCAGTCAATACAGAAACCTCCTGGCACTTTTCTGTGGCCAGGTTTGAAATTGCAGAGATGCCCACCAATGTTATTTCAAAAGTAATTCTAAAGTTGTATTTTAAATATTTTCTTTCAGAAGAGTTGTAATGATCCCTCAAAAAAAAAACAACCCAAATTTCCCAGCCAATCCATCAGCAGTTTTGCTTTACAATGACACTCAAAAACAGGGAGGGGTTTGGATGCACAGAACACTGAGCTTGAAATGCAAAACAGCAGCAGAAAAAGGTGCTTTGAGAGCATCATGTCTACCTGAGAACGACTGAAACGAGATTCGGCTGTAAACCTGATAATCTTTTCCAGCAAATGACAGAGGGAAAGGTTAGTGAATTCAACAAACACTCCCTGATACCCCAGAAAAGGAATGATCTGTAAACTATTTCCAGTGCATACGGTATTTCACTTGAGACTGGTCTGGAAAGTTGGCTGACACACTGAATGCTGAAGGAGATGACAAAATACAATCTGCTGCTTCTGAGAGAGCTGTCAAAAAACTGAAAAGTACTCTGTTTGCTACGTTCTAAGTTTCTGCTACCCAAATGAAAGACATAAATGCAAACATGTGCATAAAGCCTCTTAACAAAGACCTGCTGCCGCTTGAAAGGGCGAGTGAGCAGGGCAGGCTTTATTCCCCATTATTCTCAGTCCCAGGATCCCAAACAGGGCAAGCGCGTTTGGCCTCGAAGCAGCCCTGTCCCTTATCCTGGCTCCTCTCCTCCCACTCAAGCCTTCTGCCAGAAGCATTGAAAGCCCAGACCGGACTCCCTTTCCCCGCGGCCCACCGGGCCTCCTCGGAGGTTTCTCCTCCACCCCTCCCCGCAATGGCAGGCTGCTGTGACGCTGCCCAAACCCGCACTACCGGCGGTCAGTCACTGCCGGGCTTCTCTGCCGGGCCGTGAGAAGGCGGAGGTGAGGTGAGGCAACAGGCCCGCCGTCGCCTCCGGGGAGGCTGACCCCCACCGCTGGGGTCCACCGCAGCCGCCCACTCGTAGGGCTGAGGCGGCGGCTGTCGCAGCGCCCGTGCTGGGGAGGCGCGGCGGCGATACCGGTGCGGAGGGCTCCCGCGCTCCGCCAATCACAGGCGCTGCTCGGAGCCAGGCTGCTGCCAGTGGCGGCGGCGGGGGCCGCGGCGGGCCGGAGAGAGACCTTGCGGCTGGCTTTTCGGGCGCCCGGCGAGGGCCCGCTGCCGCGCAATGGGCACCGTGCCGTCAGCGCTGAAGCACTGCCTCAGCTACCAGCACCTCCTCAAGGAGCAGCTGTGGATCGGGGAGCAAGCCCCGCCGCCGCCTGCGGCTCCGCACCCCGGGCAGGTATCGCCGGGCGGGGTGAAGGGATGCGATGGTGTCGGCCCTGCGAGGCGCGGCCGCCGCCAGGGGGAGGCCGGGGCCGCAGGGCGCGCAGGGCTGCTGCCACCCCGTTCACGCACGTACACTCGTCCCTACTGCTCCCTGCCCGAGCCGGCCCTCAGCCTCCTCTCGGCCCTCACCGCAGGGTGTAAGGGCGTCACGGAGCAGTGGGGCTTCAGATCCTCACACGCCAATTTTTGGGCCTTTCCTGATCAGTTTCAGAATATACGGCTGATTTAAAACCATCTGAACTGGTAGTGCAGACACAGGTGGGCATCTCTGGTGCCGCTGTGGTCCCCTCCACCTGTTGGAATCTACCGTGTTCAAAGTCAGAAATCTGTGGGGTGACACATGTTTTGGTGAGGCCACAGTATGGCCCAGGCTATTCTGTGTTTGTACTTCCCTAACAAGTGTGATGGGCCCATTTGCTGTCCGGTGGAGAGTTGCTACAGCTCTAAAAGCTTGGAGGCAGAGCCTTTGGCTCCTCTGGAGCACCTGCACCCTCCTTTTGGCCAGGGATTGTCATGAATGAGTGAAGGTGATTGCACAGCCTCCTGTCAGCTATGAACAGGTGTGAAGAGTGACTGGAGATAGTGGAGCGTGGGAAGGGAAGTTTGATGAGGAGGCATGTGGGCAGGCCTCCAAATGAAGACCATAGACTATGACTGTCCTAATCATGGCTTTGGAAGAAAAGAAATGAAGGAAAGGGAAAGCTACCAGTGGCTTTTAGGGAGAGGCTGCATAAATCTGGAGGAGGAGATCAATATGATTAGCTCAAACAAGAGATAATTCTACAAGGAAATAATTCTGAGCATGACATTACTTTTGCTATAAAAACACCCTTATTGTTCGGGCATATTGTGTCTGAACTGTCATTTATTCTGAGTAATTCCACTATTCAGTAGGTGCGTCAAACATTAAAAAACATGAGCCAAGCCTACAACAAAATTGGTTTAAAATTCACATCTTCAGAAATGCACTCCTTGTTCTCTTTTGTTTTTTTCCACCTTTCAGATATACCAGAAGTACATCTTCCATTTTTCTGCACCATCTGGAGATGAAATTTAATTACTAGAGAGCAGTGTAACTTCAGAGGTAGGGAAATAATGAAACCTATAATGTTCTGAGTGCCATGAAAGCTCACAGCATTATAATTTTGCTTTAGATGATCTGAGCTTAATATTTTAAAAGCTACATATATGTAATACCCAAAGCAATACTATTGTAAGCACAGAGCTTTGTACAGGTAAGCACCATACAACTTCCAGCTGTCACAGTTCCCTGAGAATAGTGCCTATCCAGCACTGAATTCTGGGGACAGAAAATCAAGCATAATTCATTCAGTTAGTTCTGTAAAAGTGGAAGAATATTTTCTTACTTTAAAGAGAATCAAAATAGAATGAAAAGACACTTGTGTACTGGCATGAAGCAAAGCATTAGAACCTCTTCATTTGCCCTTGCTACATTTTGGTGCATCATTTGCTGTAAGTTTCAAGGGCTTTTTGCAACAGAGAGGGTTTGAAGTCAAAGACAAGCAATAATATCTTCTCAAAAAATAAAAAAAGTTTTTTTATTGTAATGGACGTCTGTAACTTTTGCTCATTTCTGCAGTGCTCTTTCGTTTTCACAACCTTTTTTCTTCTTCCAAGCATACAGAAAGAGGTCTTCCTTAGTAAACGGCAAACAGGAGAATTTGCTGCTTATCTTCCCCATGCGCATTGGTGTGATTGCACAGTCTGTTGAGCTCATAGACACTAATCAAGTCCAGAGCTGGACACTGTTAATGTTTTAACATTTGCTTCTGCATTACCTTACTGTGATTTTTATTGGAGGGTTTTAATAATTTTCTTTATTTTACATGAATATGTTCAAATTTCCATTTTTCTCACATGGATGCTTAAACAACCCGTAAAGGTTTTCCTTATGGTTGAGTGCATTCTGTGCCAATCCTGTTCAAGAAAATACTTATTCTTTATGTGATCTACAAACCATATTAGCTCAAGTGGTGGTTGTAAAAAGTGAGGGGTTTTTTGTTTATTTTGACCAGTGTATTTTATCAATTATGGGGACACCACTGTAATCACATTTATGTGGGTATACTAACAAATAAAATAGGGGAAGTGACTTAAGGTGCAAGAAAGGTTTCCCAGAAATGTTTCCAACTTTTCCTAGTTTTCCAAGAAGAGTTCCCAGCTTTCATGGCTGATGAAAATAAGGTGTTGATTTTCTTGCTGAAATCTTTTCAGGAGTTCTTCAATCTTATTTTTTTTTTTTTTTTTTTGTTAACACAGACTAAAATGTTATTAGAATGTTGGTACCAGGACGCTTATAAAACTAAAATAGTTCAATTTGGTTTTCAAAATCCAAAATATATAAAAATTCAATTATATGCTGTGCTGACTAATTTGTAAAGGTCCCAGGATTAACCACTTGGAGCTGTATTGGAGGCAAAATAATAGGTCCTAGAGTGAGTAGTGAGATATCTTTGCTTTCCCTTAATTTCCCTGTTTAATTTAGCCAACAATTCTGTAGTGTTTTTACAGCTTTATTTGATTTTAAAACATAGGGTTGCTTGAGGAGTGAAGTATGGAAAAGGAGAGGTGAAAAGCAATGGCTAGATAGGAAGTAAGCAGAATTTTCTTGTATCTATTAGTAGAATTTGCTATGTATATTTCACTCTTATTTGGACTAGTCTATAATACAAAAAAATTATTGAATACGTTAATAGTTAATGGGACACCACATGCCTGTTGCAATATCTTCATTTTATTAATTTTATTAATTTCTTAATTTTGTTTGCTTCAGAAATACCATCTTTTGTTTCATATGAAAGTTCTGCTTCATTCTCTTAACACAGCATATACTGTTTTTATAAATACATCTGATTAAAATTATAGGTCTGCTTAATTTTACTAAATAGGAGCTATAGCTACGTGAGAATTTGTTAAAGACATGGATTTATATCAGAACTGTAAAATGTGCTAGGATCTACCTAAGAAAGTGGTGGCAGTAGATGTTGCAGTTCTAGGAAGATATCCGCAGTAACCAAGATTGCTACTAATGGTGACTCATAGCACTTGACTGGAATTTGCAATGTACTTTGTGTTCTGTTTTATGAAATCCTCAGGCTGAACAACAGGGAGGAAGGCTGGCTGTTGATTGCTGCTGCTGGTTGTCCTCTGGCTTTGCAGGCACCTCCTGGCTTGAAGGAGGAATGGCCTGAGAGAAATTGACATTGTTCTCATCCTACAGACTTAATGTTATGTTTTCATGTAGGGTAAAATGCAATTTTAATGTATTAGGAATAGGCTAAGGACACAGCAGGGAAGAGCTGGATGGCTGAAGAAGTGGTGTAAAAGACTGGGATGAAATTCAAAGGTACTTTGAGACTAATAACCCAAACTCGAAACTGTGATATTATCAGAAATGACTGAAGAAGGGAATAACCTTGGAATACTCACAAATCATGGGAGGACTACAAGCTGCCAATACAGTATAGCTGTTAAAAAGAATCGAATCAAGTCCTTGGATATGTCAGATCAAGTATTTCCAGTCAAACAGGAAAATGTTGCCATTGCAAAACTCTGTATCTGAGGCTCGTTCAGTTTTGGTTAGCCATATTCAAGATTGAATTGCAGCTGGGACAAGTTAGGTCTTGCACCACTGGAATGGTCAGGAAAATGGAGATGAAATATAAAATAACATTGTTGTGTTTGATATCTAGTGTTAAGACCTGGGCAGGAAGGGAGGGAAGAAGAGGAAAGAGCTGCTTAAAATAAAGGAATATGTTGCCTCACACAAACAAATGCTTATAATTTGTCTATTAAATACAGAGTAGAAATCTAAAAGCTAAGTATCAAGTGGTGACATTCTTTAATAAAGATAAAATAAGCAGAATTATGAGAGTGAGTAACCTGTATGATTTATGTTGAGAAAAAGGACTATATGATGTGGTTTCCATAGTAGTGAAAATGATTGGATTTTTAAATTTTATGTAATAAGGAGTAGGGACTAGTTATTTAGTTGCTGGAAAACAGAAGACAATTCCAGTTTTTAATTACATTGCATGGCTTACAATGCTTTGGAAAAAATATAATTAGTTAAGATCATTGTGCCAACTTCAGTGTGGATATTCATCTTCTGCCACTTTAAATCAGTGCATCCTGCTCTACTCTATAAGAGTTGCAATGGCTAAACATAGCTAAGTAATAAGCAACTTTCTCTTAGACCCTGGGTTTTAATGTACCACTAGTTAGGTGTGCTAAGATGTATGGCATATTAGGAGTTACATGGTTTGGTGAGGGCTGCCTACATCTACTACAGGGAAAGCAAAATTAAGTAAAAAAATAAAACTCTAGTCTCTTGCTTTCCCAGATGTGGCTGTGACTCTAGGAGGCATAAATCTGTCTAAATAATGCTAATGTGTGCTGTGTTATCCTGTAGGATTTCTGTCACAGATTGAGACTCTCATATGGATGCAATACCCAGAATTATTAGCACTTGTTTGGTATATTATCATTGGAAATCAGAGTGTACATAATTGTGAAGTTTGTAACTGGAGAGGAGCACAGATTTTACATGCTAAATATATATAATAATGAACAAAAGCTTGGGTCATCTAATTTACACAGATAGCTTTTGTTTCAGTGCCTAAGTTGCAATGATTTATATGCTACATGCCTAAATATCCAGACCTAAAACACACAGCCTAAGATTCCCACATCTCCTCACTGCATGACACTCGTGGATCAAGAGATGCACACAAGTGTCTTGCTTTTGCAGTTTTAATATAATTATTTAGATTTTGCAATATACTGTCATGTTTTAAACATATGCCTGAAGCCTCTCAAATGTATTTTTAAAGTAACTAAAGAATAACAGTGAAAGCCACAGTCTTCTCGTCTTAACTACTTTTGTATTTGATGGTTGTTTCTTGATTCAAATTACGGCATAAAAGATGAAGC